CAAAATAAGCAAATCAAACATGATACATCTCTCCCATGATCCCCCTCCATTCTTACTCCTTTCCTCGAGTATCATAGTATATTAAATTGTAATCTCTTTGACTCCATGACCCATCCACCCCTATTTGTTCTTTTCTGTCATTTTTACTCTCTCTTGTCTCACCTTCTCCTTCTTTCTTTTCTCTATTTTTCTTAAAGAGCTCTATTGTCTGCTCCTCAAGCCCATTGTCTACCTCATGTTAGAAGAAGGGTGAAGAGATGGAGCATGGAGGAGTTTGTTTTCTATGACTACTTGCAAAGGTGAAATGTTTATTGAAGACTTGATAAAAGGAATGAGTATGAAAAGAAAAACTATGCCAAGCTTGAACTTGTTGTGTCCGTTGATGATAGAAGAGATTAGATGTTGACAATGATCAAGAGTTACCTGCTCCAAGAAAGGGGTTAAAGTACATAATTTTTTTACATGAAAGCAAATGCTAACAAGAGAAGCAACTTTATTCCCAAAGGTGTAGAGGGGAAATATGGTTCTACCCAACTCTAAGATGAGGAGAATTGCCAAATCTTTTTATGCTAATCTACTATGTGAACATGAGACCAAGAGGCCTAAGCGGGATGGTTATTTTTTGACAAGTTAGGTGTGAAATATCGCAATTCTCTTGACGCAATGCAAATTGGTAAGTTGGTATTGGTCCTTGGGACAACAAATTTACAATAAGTAATGACTATGATACTAGATTTTGATGAGTGGTTGAAGCTCCTTTTTTTCTAGAATCTACTCCAATTCACATTTAGCAAGCTGACAACCCAGTGCACAAACTCTATTAAAGAGGAAGAAAATTATAGTACTGAAGAGAAGGTAAATCAGGATGTAAAAGAATAACAGAACCATAGTGTTAAAGAGGAAATAAATCAAGGAGTTATAGAAGAAATAAATTATGGTGTTAGAGAAGAAACAAATCAAGTTAAATGGGAAAATTATATATTCTATAATTAATTGTAATTAGTCGTATATTTCTTTTTTTGTCATAGAAAATTTATATATATAGGCTATAACATTCAATAAAATATACATCAATCAAAAAATCATTCCTAACAAACTCAAAAGGATGGTAATTTCATAGCTAAATCATGTTACGATTATTGAGGCTTCCCCAAGATTACTTTAAACAAGTTCCTTCAAAGCACAAATGGAAAATAAAGCTCACGCCTTGGATTGAACTTGTCTATGGAAGGTAGGTCGCTTCGGGCAAGATCTGAACTACTAACAACCTTATGAAAAGGCTTATAGTTGAATCGATGCTTTCTTTTCTTGAAATAGTGAATCCCTATATCACTTCCTTTAGTGTTTAGAAATCAAAAGGCTCCGGAATTGACTCTTAGCCTCCTGATTCTTTATTGGTTTGCCAAAACCTCAATCAATGATGAACTATGGCATGGAGTGGTACCCCTTCTCCTAAGCCTTAGAGAACATTCTTGTCACTAATTCCTATTTCTATCTTTTGGGGCCACTTGAAAGGAGAGGATTTGTAGAGTTTTTAAACACTCCTTTACCCCTTGTGCAACCATTAATGACCATTTCTAATCTTGACCTTTTTTCTTTATAATTTCGTGCATGGTTACATCCCTTTTGTGCCCTTTAATCTTTTTTTAAAATAAAAAGTATGAAAGGATATTAAAGAGAACCAAGGGGTTGTCACCCATGTACAAAAATATTTACAAGGTAGTAATCATTTCAATGACGTTCCTAAAATCCTTTATATGTCATGACCTATGGTTACATAACCAAAAAGACGAAACCATCTATCTCTAATTTTTTAGTACTCTTCAATCTTATTTCTTTCTCTCTCGAGAAAAGGTAAACATCCTTAATAATATGTAAAAATTGACATATGTTCAATTCAGGATCTTCTTTTGCAATATTTAATTTGTAGAGAAACCAGGCAAATGGATCAAAATTGATTCTTAGCAGACAAAATTAGTCAAATATAACTTGCTTAGGCTCACAAACACTTTCTTTGACAGTTTTATAGTTTAAATACACTAGCCTATGCTACCTAAACAAGTAAACTTACTTGATGGCCCAACACTGAACAAATTTCAAGTATGGACCTAAATAGATCTCTATTCTGAAATCCTAATCACTAACTATAATCAGTTTAGATGTAACAGCTAATACAGAAGTATACATACAGGAGTTCGCATGACCTTTATATTCTGAGACATTTTTGTTCCTATAAGGTTCACCTCCCAAACCCTAGTTCCACTCAAGTTCATCTGGAAATAGCTTCCAGAAAAGCTCTCAAAGCTCATTCAGAAAAACAAATTACTTTGCACGATTTAAAGCAATTTATCATAATAAACATCTAAGCACAGGAATTAGAAAGAATTTAAAAAGAAAAGGAAAAAGAAAAGATTCAAGGAAAAGATCTCCCACAATGCAACTGCTCGCAGTTGGAAATTCCTACTAAAATTGTTGGGAGCAACTAATCCAAGTCCAACCAAGAAAACTAACTAAACAAATTGAAAACTATTAAGTTATATGGCAAATAGCTTCAGTCAGAACAGTAAGTGACCCAGAATACTATGTAAGCTTACACTGTTTGATGGACAATGGCACAACAGGACGACCACACTCCGAAAGTTACAATTACAAGATCTTCAACAAACCATCCCTTGGTTTAGTATAATAGCTAGTACTTCCACCCCTCTCCTCGAGGGAAATGGTTCTAGCCCTGGGTTATGTGCCTCTTATTACACAATCAAAAAAAGAAAATGAGTTTACAAGATCTTGTTAACTCCCAAAGCCCATTGATCAAGAAGGTGTAGATTAGCACATAAAGAAAATGATGAAATTCACGTAATATTCATGGCGATCACCAATTAACAACTAAAGTCCACTATTCTAAAAGAATTTCGGGAAAAAGAAATTTTTAGTTGTTATATTATACATTACATGGCAGATGAAGGAAGGTTGTCAACTTGTCAAATACCTATTCATTGATTAAGAGGTGACATAGCCCTGGAGTTCGCACAATTCAGGGCAGTTAACTTCATCCACAGACCAGAAACAAGACAAACTCCAGTTCCAACCTTATAGGTGTTCTAATGTACTCTAAACTCCTCCGATTTTAACAAAAATTGGGTAACATGTTGCAAAGTAAAATAAAAGGGGTAAAAGAACAACTAAACAATCTCCTTTGTAAGTGCCTAAATTCCTGTGAACATTTCCCACTCTTCCCAAACCGTAATATGATGGTGATTTTTAATCAATGTCAACAGAGCCAGTGGCTTAGAAGTACGGACCTGTCAACACTGCGATGCTCTAATTCAAGATCAATCTTGCGCCAATCCTTACCCCGTTCCTCTAGCAAAATCTCTCTTGGTTTTGCATCCCCAAATGGATTCACCTTGGGCCTCGGCTTCACCACATTGTCCATTACCTGCATCCCCTGGCTGTCGGACCTGCTTGACTGTGCACTTGAAGGCCTGCTCGAGTGGGCACTTGTCGGCCTGCTCGTTTTTCTTGCATCAATCTCCGAGTCTATCTGCTTCCAGTCCAAACCTTTCCCCGCCAGCACCTCCTCCCTCGGCCTGGCTTCGCCAAATGGGTTCGGCCTATTCGTCTTCACCACCGGCAGAACCTCACTCACCACAGAATCACCCTTTGGACGATCCAACACCAAACGCGGACGCTCCTCCCGTAATCCTCCACCACTAACACCACCAGAACCTCTAGCCCATCGATCAGTGTCAGGGCCCGAATCGCGAAAACCAGAACTGAAAGTGGATGATCTGGAGGGCACCGGCTTTTTCCCGATTTTCCAATTATCGACCTCATCGGCCCTGGAGAGGCCCCCAACTCCACCACTTCCGCCGAGCCCACCGTAGCGACTCTGACGGCCTGGATCCAACGACGGGAGAGATTTTTTCCCCATTGCCCAATTATCGACCTCGTCCGCCCTCGAGGGTTGATCTAAATCGGAAACCCTAGAAGGCGGTCCCCTGCGTTCATCATCAAATCCGCCATACTGCCTCCTGCCTCCGCCCCACGAGCCTTCCGTTTCGTCACGGTCGCGCACCGCCCGTCCAGAAGGCGGACCGGAACGGTTGTAGGAGGTGAATCCCCCGCCAAGGCGACCGTACTGCATTTCCTCCGGGGAGCGCTGCTTGGGACCGGTAGGGAGCTGCATCATTTCTTCTGGTGTTAAGCCTTTTTGCTCGGTAACCCTACCTCCGCCGGTTGAAGAGTATTTGCCCATGTTAAACTCAGAAAGAGTCATCTTCTTCTTCTTCGGTTTGGTGCTGACGGCTTCCCTTAGACTCGGGAAGCTCTGGGACTCTGCGGCGGCGGCGGCAGCAGCGGCTGCTCGCTCCTCCTCCTCGGCCTGCTCGGCTTCGGCGGCCCAAGCGCCGATGCCACCCCAGGGTTTCGACATTTGCTTGATATCTTCGTTTATTAGTTGTCGCCGAAAAACAAAGGGAATCTAAGAATCCAAAATATAGAAAAAGGAAAAGGGGGCGATCCAGAAACAAAGATAGAGATGAATTGTGAGCTAGGGCTCCTTCAATGGAGCCGGAGCTCCGAAAACATGCAAAGATGAAGATCGGGGTGCAGTTGCGTCGTGGGTGTGTATGTAAAGTTGAGGCTTGTTGGGGTTTGTGTCAACAGAACATTACATTAAGGGCAAGTTTGGCGTCGCGTGAGATGTTAAAATTGCTTTGAAACTAAATATATTTTTAAAATAATTTTAAGATAATAGCAATTTCAGTGTGAAAATAATATTATATAATTAACATAAAAATTAGTTTTAATATTTGGTCTTATTTTTATCTAAAATTTAAATCAATATTTATTTTTACCCAAAAAAATATTTTTATTTTGAGCTCTGATTTTATGGAGCCAGACAAAAATAAGAATTTAGCCATCAAAATTTACTATTCCTTAAAAAGATATATATATATATATTATTTATTAGCTTCCCCATGAAAATATTTATTCTTTCACAGGTTCATTTCTCACTCCAAAAAGAAAAAAAAGGCAAAGAAGCGAATCCTTAGAAGCAATCCTGACCGTCGGCAGTAACGAAAGTCAACCATCGTTGCCCCCGCGTATTAATAAGAACTTTTTTTCTCAATAAAATAAGCCCAAAAAGTCCGTACTCCAACCCTTTTTTTTTTAAAAAAAAAAAAAAAGGATCAGCATCCAAACAAATTAGTTGGGTGGAAAATTAAAAAGAAATTTCGAAATTTCAACAAAATACACTGGGAGCAAAGCTGTATGGAGCCTTCCACTGTAGAATGCTTAAAACAAATCATTTTCTATCTCAAAAAATATTTTATTATTGATATAAAATTGTATTTTATTTTATACAAATCTTGAAATTTATTTTCTTTAAACCCAGTTCCTAATAGATAGATATTCAAATCCCAATGCAACAGCCGCACCGTAACCGAGGCGTCTGTTTTGTTTTCTCTTCTCTTCTCTTCTGGTTCTTCTATTACGAGATGTTAGTCTGAAAAAGCCACTGAAAACGCTTTTATATTATGAAGGAACGAGGAGGGTGTTGAGATTGTTTGTTTCATATTTATGTAAGCGTTTGATTTTATTTATTTTAATCTTTTTGTTTAGTGACAAAAAATATATATACACTTGTTAAATTTTTAATTAGGATTTTAATGTGAAAATCAATACTTTTATTTTTAATGCTTGTTTGTGGGTCAACCAACACGAAAGAAACAAAAACAAAAAACAAAAAAAAAAAAAGTTGAGCCTCGACAGGAGGCCAAGGGGTCGTAGAATTATGTGGACAGCATTAGAAGTAGAGTGTGAATATTGATTGACCCATCACAAGTTCGAACTTTTGTATCCCGTAGAGGGCGGCTTGTGTTTTTTGTTTTTAATTAAATATTTAATGCATTATAATTATTTTAAGATAATTTAGCCTGAACTTAATTATTTTGGGAATTTGAAACATAGTTTTAATTAATTTATAAAATTATTAGTTATTAATTAATTTTTAACTGTTCTTATTCATTTTTTGAAAATGTCCATAAATACTTAAAAAGTTCAAAGCTAAAGCTAATGAAAATACTGAATTATATCAGTTATAAGCGAAAGTAATTTAGAATTTAAAGTTTATATTCATTACACAGTAATGAAATAAATTGTTAAAATAAAACGAAATAAAAATTATATTGGTTAACCTCATCTGGGCAACTTTGATGAGATCCGAGTGGTAACCTTTATTCGCAACTCTCCTGTTGTAACACCCAAATTTATTATTTTTCTTTTTTAATTTATATTAGAATTTTAGTTTAATTTTTTAATATTTAATTTATAAAGTTTTAATTTAATTTCATTTAATTTTATAAAAATAAAAATCATACCCATGATATCAGCGGCAGTTTGAAAGGTGGCCTATTCGGGAATCTCCGGATGTACGAAGGGGTCAAATCCCCGAAGCATTTCGTCGCTTGAAACGCCAATCGTAATTCAGGGGTCCAAAGGCATCCTCCGTAAGCCTTTCC